GTCGGGCCGGTCGGGACAGCATACGGGGAATGTTGGGACAAGGTGTACTAACTTACCCCAATTTGAAAGATGCTTAATTTAAGCAGGATAATCTTTAATAACACCAGGCTGATACAATCTAAATGTTTGATAACTACAGGAGAGAGGAATTAACATATTTTTTTTTAATCTGAAAGAAATAAAATACGAAACATACATCTAAAACACATATTTGAAATAATATTTGTTACATTTTTTTTGTCATTGTCTTTCAGTATTGTCTTGTCAATTTCAAGACGCACTGTTTATATATCATCATCCGAATCACAATTTTGACAGGTGAAAGCTGCATTGGCCGAGAAAGTTCATCCAGATTTTCCGGCGTGGTTCCCCCTTGTCAGTGATGCAGGACGGAGGGCCTGACAAGGACAGCTGTCTAGTCCTTCGGATGAGACGAAAAACCGAGGTCCCGTGTATACATTAGAATGCACGTAAAAGATCCCTTGGCAGTTGGAATTCGATATAAGAGTAGGCGATAGTGCCGCTGCCCGGGCAAAATTTCCCTCATAGCACACTGTATGGCGTATGCCCGTCTTAAACATTAGCCCAGTATAGGAGCAGAACAGTAGGACATTAAACCCGATTTCATTTCATTTCATTTGACAGGTGAAAGCGAGTGTGTCTTGAGGAGTGCACAGAACATGGGCCCACATCTTACAGACAACACACCTGACCCATTTTTCTCTAGGGCGACTATTGGAGTAGGGTTGGCCGCAAACAACACAGTCTACATCAGCATCGTCTTCATCGGAATCAGAAATTTCAATGCGATTTTTCTTTCTTTTCTGTACTTTCTTTCTGTTATTTATGTCCACACCCGTTTTATCGAGACTGAATTTGATTTTCTTTGCTGCTGATTTTTACGATGTTTTCATAGCTTCTTCAGCAGCTAGTGAATCTTTTACTGGGGAGTCGGTCAAAATTGCTGTGTGTCGCCTCCTCCTGTTAATTAATCTCTTTTGACTGACGGGCGCCTTTGGCAAGGGTCGAACTATTGATGGTGGACTGTTAAATGGTAGTGTGTCCACTGGCATTGTCTTGTGAGGTGTATGTCCATTTTCACCATCTGTAGTTGGAGAGAGGTTTGGCTCGAACGTTATATCTAATAGTTGAACGGTGTCCATCGCTTTCTTTTGGAAACTGACGTAGTGATCTCCAACACCATGTCCAAATAAGGCTAATTCAATACTCAGATGTGCTTGCTCTATATTCCTTGGTGGATGCTGTCTTTGGCAGGTATTTCTATTTGCATCAAGTTGATGCAAATCTATATGAACTCCAAGGGCATTGCATATACCATCAAGTAACATATCAGCAGTATTTGTGTTGTAATCCTTGCAGAAAAGGTACTGTTTTAGCTGCTTAAATACATCGTCGTCGTCAATGCTGAACTGTTGGTAAAAGCCAATGTTAGTTTCAACCTCCTCTATCAGCTTTTCACTTATTTGCTTCGTAGTCATACATATATTTTGCTCTAGCAAACTTTGATTAACAGCCTGTAACAAACAGTGACCATCACCTCGAACATCAACAAGGACCTTCCCTCGTTCTAACAGATGTGATTCAATTATCTGTCTCTCTTGGGTAAGATTACTTGAATTTAAAACTTGTGATGGAGATGGGTTATTGTAAGGTTTATCTGTCACAGTTGATGGCGCAAAGTCTTTGTCTGAGAATATCACATGTTTAAAAGGCCAAATACCACCTACACGAAATCCACTCACACAATTTTGATAAGAAAATGACTTGTGCCACATCTCTTTCAATAAGCCAGGAATTTCATATATTGTAAGAGTTTTACCTGGGTGATTAGGATCCGATTTGCTGCTCAACTTTCACTCATGATTAAATCATGAAATGGATAATCGAGGCTTCTGCTTTTTATCGTACCGCCTTTAGTAACGATGATCGAGGCAAAGCTGAAAATTTAATCGCTAAATTCTCGGTTCAGAGTGAATCAATTTGACTGAAATTTTCAACAAATACTCTTTACATTATCTAGTTTTTAACTATTATTTAACTATTATAGTGAGAACTGTCAGCTCGTTATCTAATCTTCCATAATGTATCTTTAATATGAACCCAAGGGGAGTTTGTTCCCCAGTCGCATTCAGATTTCCTAAATAAAAATATTGTTTAAAAAAATGTTAATATTGTTACAAGTTAATTATATGAAATTGTGGCAATTTTCCTACAATTGATTTATAAACATATTGATGTTCTTTGTATAATATTATTGTATTATAGCAATAAACTATGGTTATCACTGTACTGGTTCGTGTACTTATCGCCTTCGTGACATTTGTGTCTGATCATGTCATCTTTAAGTCACAGATGGCCACCTTCTTACCACAATAGGATAACTCTGACCTTTTTGTAAATCGCGGTCCTATTAGGCCCAAGAAGTCAACGTTTTCTTTTGATTCAGAGAGCCAAATGCAAAAACTCGGTCCATTAAACATACATTATGCAAGAGCTAAATCTGCCTATTGCAGGTCTTTCTTTAGGCCCGAAATGTTATATAAACTATTAATTGGACATTTATTAACAAAACAAGACCATAATCGACTCTCGATGGCATCGAATACTCGAGATTTTAACTAGATTAAAACGGTTCGATTATACCAGTGCCCTGGTTACCACTGTGCACACATCTTGTCAAAACTACAAAAAATGATATGTTGGCTGAGAATGAAGTAATTTGAATGAAATTTTCAATATTTCTTTTTTTGATCATCTATTTTTGAATTATTATAGCAAGAATGGTCAACTCTTTATTAAACTCTTAACTAATGTATCTTTAATATGCACATATAGCCAACTATTTTATCAAAATCCAAGGGTGTGTTAACTTACCAGAAATTTATTTTTCTTCCAAAACTCAGTCTATTTTAATTTGTGGGCCAACGCTTGTATAGAGAGGCGACGGAAAATAGACTTTGTGAATGTTTCGGAAAATAACACTCTTTAAATTAAATTTTTACACACTTGTTTGTTTAGCGTACATAAATTATTCCCACACACTTAAATATTGAATTTACCATACTGCCTACTCTTATTTCAGGGGGTTGGATGGCCGAATGGTTAGCACGTGCGCGCTGTATCATAAGGTCTGTCATATTGAGTCACCTGGCAGGGTCGCCTGTCCAACCTCGTGGGTTTTCTCCGGGTCCTCCCACTGCTAAAGACCCCTACGCGCAAGCGAATTATTGAAATAAAATTGAACCATGTCCCGAAATGACCTAGTTTGTGTCGAGTGGCAGGAACTAGCAATCGAGGGGATAATCAACAGCTTCCGTTCTGTTATGCTACTCTATATTGAAGGACCACCAACCAAGGGGATAAACAGCAGCTTCGGTACCGTTACGCTGTTCTATATTGAAGGACCACCAGCCAAGGGGACAATCTGTATCTCCCGGCATAGTTAATATTCCTGGTCCTATTATGTAGTTTAATCTCAATTTAAACGTTCGAGACATCTGTCCATACATGCTTCACCCTCCAAGGGTATCTTTTACGTGCACGCCAATGTATACACGGTGAAACATGGCCCCCTCATTGCAAACCCAATACATATGACCTTTCGATCAAACTATTGTAACCAATCCTAGACATCTGACCTGACCTCTCTTAAAACACCAACTGGTCATATTTTCTAATCGGAACCACTTGTGAACCTTTTAGTACACCACCCCACAAAAAAGCTTTCTACTCCCAAACCAAAAATATAATTACACTACAACTAACATACAACAGGAAGGACATCATCTTCTTACTCAAATAAAACACATAGTCACCAGGTAGGACTAAACGCACCGTACGGATTTCAATCAAGTGATTGCAAACTCATTGCGCCCCAAATCGTAAACATCGGCCATCACTGATCATTACACGAGTTTTAAATCTGAAACAGTGAAAATATTTGAGAAACAAATGAAACATGCATTATGATATTGGTTGTTGAATCATGAAATTGGTTGCTGATAATTACACTTAACATGCTATTGGTTGTTGACAACTATCATAATATTGGTTGTTGAAAGTTATCGTGATATTGGTTGTTTATAATTATTATGATATTGGTTGTTGATAATTATTATGGTATTATGGTTGACACTTATTATGATATATTAGTTGTTGATAATTATTATGATATTGGTTGTTGACACTTATTATCATATTAGTTGTTAATAATTATTATGATATTGGTTGTTGACAATTATCGTGATATTGGTTGTTGATAATTATTATAATATCAGTTGTTGACAATTATCATGATATTGGTTGTTGACAATTATTATGATATTGCTTCTTTACAGTAATCTCTATATTGCTGTGATATTGGTTGTTGTCAAGTGTCATGATATTGGTTGCAAATGTGTTCACAATGTTATGTGATTGCTTGTTGACAATAATCATATTTTCTTTTCAGGACTCAGGGTGGCTAAGTGGGTAAGACGCTGGCTAGCTAGCCCAGAGGTCGCGTGTGCGATTCCTGCATTGGCCAAGAAAGTTCATCCGGAATTTCCATCGTGGTTTCCCCTTGTCAGTGGCACAGGACGGGGGGCCTGACAAGGACATTCGTCTTGTCGTTCGGATGGGACAAAAACCGAGGACCCGTGTATACATTGGCGTGGGCGTAAAAGATCCCGGTGGTGTCAGTGGTGCACGTAAAAGATCCCTTAGATGTTGGAATTCGATATAAGAGTATACCGTAGTGTCACTGCCCGAGCAAAATTTACCTCCTAGTACACTGTTCCCGTCTTCATTAGCCCAGTAGGACGTTAAACTCCATTTCATTTCATGTCATTTCAGGAACCAATTCGTATCCTGGTCGTGAGTTTCTACTGTCATTCCCTCAGAATTTCATTGGCAAAAACGAAAAAGTTGAAATTGTGATGACATGTGTTGCAACAACTAATGTACAAGTGAACTTGACATTTCATGCACCAGATACTTTCGTGCAACCAGAAAATACGGCATTCAACTTAGCCCCAGATGAAAGATACGTCATACCACTTTCTGCGGACATACACATGCCTACAGGAAGTGTTATTGATACGCGATGTGTACAAGTTATTAGTACCGGGGATATTACTGTGGTGGTGTTCAGCAGGCAGGGGTCAAATGGAGATGCTTATTTAGCGTTGCCGATGCCGCTACTCGGTCAATTATATTTGTCAGTAAATTATTATATGCGCGCGAGTCAATCTGCGTCGTTTATTGTGATCACGGCTCCATTTAACGATAGCAAGATCAGAATTCGTGTTCCAGACTTTAGGAATATTGTAAGTTTTATGTTTGCTGATCGTCTATATGGTCCAGAAGAAACTATTGTGGTAACACTGTCAGCCTATCAGGTTTTACAGTTACAGATAAATGATGATCTAACCGGTACCCATATTGTTTCAGACAAACCGATTTCTGTCCTAAGTGGCGTAAACCGTACCACAGTCTATGGGAAGCACTGTAAAAGTCACGTAATGGACTCACTTCCACCTGTTCGTCGTCTTGGCTATCAATACATTACAGTGACGGAGCCACAGTACAGAGAACCAACGGTATACCGTATCGTAGCAACCCAAGTAGCGACCAGAGTTGAAATGGGAACGAATATAATCATCTTAAATAAAACTGGAGATTATTATGAATCTGTTATAGAACCAAATAATTTTTATTTCCTTCAATCTTCTAAACCAGTTCTAGTAGCACAGCTCAGTACTTCTAACTATAACGGTACATATAGATCCGGTGATCCTTCTATGATGATACTGACACCACTCCAAGCAGCACGCGACTTCTACACGTTTTCGGTCGTTGACTATAAAAGTTACACCGTTTATGTTACAATAGTAATTAATAGTTCGGATGTAACTGGCTTACGATTAAACAACCAAACCATCTCCACTAACTGGACGGCAGTGACTGGTAAATCGAATCTTGTGGTCGGAGAAGTCCCGATTACCACGTCATTGAAAGTTTCACACAAGATATCAAATGGAAATGGTGGAAAGTTTTTGGCATATATTCAGGGAATGATGAAATGTGAGGGCTATTCATTTGGTCTGACATTTCAAGAGACGACCAATACTCCGGTAATTATTGACATTTAGTTAAGTTGGCAATAAAAAGTTTCTGCATCCTTTTGAAAATATTGCAACATCTGTTGCTCTCCAGCTTCCCGATCTAAATAATGTTACCACATTTGTTCCTTTCCATTCCCCTAAATAATGTTCCCACACCATGTAAAGTAAAGTAAAATACCCTAAATTAAAGGAACGTAACGTTAAGTACCGTAAGGTTAAGTAATGCAAAGTAACATATCATAAGCACTAGGTAAAGTAAAGTAAAATAGCATAAGGCAACGTTAAGTAAAATACCATAGGGTAAAGTGAAATAAAATACCATAACGTAAACTAAGGTAAAGTAAAATGCCATAAGGTAGAATAAGTCAAAGTAAAATGTAATAAGGTAAAGTAAATTAAAATAACACAGGGTAAAGTAACGTAAATCAAAATATCACAAGATAAAGTAACCTGAAGTAAAATACCTTAAGGTGAAGTAAAGTAAAAGAAAATACCATTGAGTAACGTAAAGTGAAACACCATAAGGTAAAGAAAAAAAAACATAAGGTAAAGTAAAATACCATAAGGTACAGTAAAATACCATAAGGTGAAGTAAAGTTAAATACCATAAGGTGAAGTAAAGTAAAGTAAAATACCATAAGGTAAAGTAAAGTAAAATACCATAAGGTAAAGTAAAGTAAAATACCATAAGGTAAAGTAAAGTAAAATACCATAAGGTAAAGTAACGTTAAGTAAAATACCATAAATTAAAGTAACCTATAGTAAAACAAAAGTGGCATGTGATGGATTTTAAAATGACATAACGTAACTTAAAATATAATTATCATAATGTAAAGTAACGTAGGGTGCAGTAACGTAACATTATCTAAATCAGAATAATGTAACATGAACTAAAGTTAACATAAAGTGTCGTTACTTTTTATAAAGTGTGGTGTCCCGACATTGCTTTTAAAAAGTAGTTTAGTAAATTGTGAAATACATTAGTATTGTATCATGCGTGGTGTAATCAAGTCATATAAAGCCTGTATATTTTATACTGCATATTTTAGGCCTGTATTTTATACTGCATATTTTAGGTCTGTATATTTTATACTGGGGAGCCACGAATGGGGTCGTGGGATCGTTACTGCAGATCATCGTGATTTTCGGGCGTGGTTTACCCTTGTCAGTGATGTAGGACTGGGGACCGAACCAGGGCAGTTGCCTAGTCGTTCTGATGGGACGAAAACCGAGGTCCCGTTATACATTGGCGTGCACGTAAAAGAACCTTGGCCGTTGAAATGTGATATAAGAGTAGGCAGTAGCGCCGCTGTCAGGACAAAATTCCCCTCAAATTCCCCAGAACAGTAGGACGTTAAACGTCATTTCATTTCATATTTTTATACTGTATGTTTATTTGATGCTGTATATTTTAGGGCTGTATTTTATACTGTATATTTTAAGCCTGTATTTTAAACTGTATATTTTATGTCAGTATTTTAGGCTGCATATTTTAAGCCTGTATCAGTATTTTATGCTGTATATTTTAGGACTGTATTTATACTGTATGTTCGATCTGTATATTTTATACTGTATATTTTAGGTCTGTATCAGCAGCCTGTCCATACCCGGTGATCTTATAGATAACGACTGTGATGGTAAAATAGATGAAGAAGTTTGTTGTATCAACAAAACACCTATAGGTACGTAAGTAAATAAATACACTCCGTGGAGTGAGTAAATACACCATTCTGTTTCATCATCTTTTCATCATCTAGGTAATTAATCAGCAGCCCCTTGCCTAATAATACAACACAGTAAACATTTACACCATGGACCGATCAATTGACATAATAAATGGGCCGAACAAATTGACATTATTTGTGCTGAACAAATTGATATTTATGCCGATAAATTGACATATCAAAATTTATGTCGTTTAATGATATATACAATTCACTAACACTTAAAACTAATAAACATTATTTAAATTAAAGTAGTTAGTCAATTATACAATATTAAATAGTAGGTTTGTAACTAGCTTATCTATTAAAGATTTCATTTCCAATTTGACATCGTGACTAATTGAATACGCAACCTTAGACATTATTGGAGCACGTCTTACTAGTCACAGAAGTATATCCCATTCAAAGTGAGCAACAAGGAAATATGTGTTATAGATATCCATATTTCCATATTCTATACATCACATCCAAAATCTAAATTATTTCTGAAGCCGAAGTGAATTCTTGGATTATCGTCTGCCAACTCTCTCTCTCCCCCCCCCCCCCCCCCCGTATAATAACAGAGTTTGTTGTATGTTTCAACCCCGTCGTGTTCCCAAAAGCACTTAACCATTCTACTGTACTATAAACAGAAAAAAATCAGGAAAAAATTGAAAAGTGCCGAAAAATTCCAAAAAAAAATCTAAAAGTACCGAAAAATACCGAAAAAACTCCAGAAAAATACCGAAAAAAACTAAAATTTGGCAAAAAAAATTTTTGATACTAATTACTCAAAAAATTCGAAAACCACCAAACAACACTAATTACTCACAAAATGGCCGCCAAATCTACCTTTATTACAGATAGAAACATGACCCATTCGAGTCAGAATATCTAATCAGAAATTATTATAAATGAATCCCATGACGCCATTGCGTCTATTTTGACGTTAAATGATGTCAGCATACACTGAAAAAAAGGACTGAACCCCTTGGAAGAGTATTTATCTGTTTATAAATTTTCAAATTTTCAAATTCTCTCCATCCATAACTGCACCTGGCAGTACACGCGGAAAACATGATACTTTGTATGAATCGATATAATTTATAAAGTGTACTTTTAAACTTTCGTAATGGTCTATATACATGTTTATTGATTATATAAAGTAGGATTATTATGAAAGGAAATCTGGGTTTTAAGTGGAGATATTCGTGTAAATATAAATGAACCTACTTAGCTAATGGGGACTTGTGTTGTTTTTATTGATTTGAAGTAAGTTCTCTGATTAATCCACCTGTATTTTTTATTTATTGTATACGTTATCCTAATAAGTTCAGCTAATAATGCCTTTGAGATAACAACGAGCTGTTAGGCTCATTTTGATGACATCTTCACGGTACTTTTATGACACTAGAATGCAGCTACTTCACTTCGTTTTCTTTAATGTTTCTAAAAGGAATCTGTTAATGGGGTTTTAGCAACGAAGGGCATCCCTCGATAAATTCGCAAGGGTTAAACAAGACAATGGGCGAGTTTATTTCCAATTAAGAGTTAATATTCACAATTGGACCACGCACCTGTTGAACTGTTGAAACACAAACAATATTTTACATAAACAGATGGAGAAATATTCCAAGAATCATTCTGTTTCTAAATACTAAGTTTTAAACAACACCAACACATGTGGATAATCTAGACGGTTATGGCGATGTAGTCGCGATTGCTTGGTAGGCTAGCGGCCAATGCCCCAAAAGGAGATAACTGAGGTAGCACAAAGCATTTTAACCATCACACGAACTCAAAACTGGTTCTTACGCAAATTTTAGACATGGTCCAATATATTTTTTGTGCACTTTTATCAATGTTCAGGGTTTCTTTGAAAATAATAAATTTGGTAGTAAATGGTGCTTGTTGGTTCGTGTTCTTTAATTCTGAAAAATCTTGAAAATAATTTACTAGCATCTAAAAGAATAATGGGTGACCTGTGAATTTTTGGACCGCAACTTCTAAATTTGCATATATGACGTAATTGTGACGTCATTACTATCATTTTGTCTTAAGAGTGCCAATTAAACCGGAGTGTGGGGAGGGGGAGGGGAAGGGGTGATGGTGGTGGTGGATGGTCGAATGGTTAGCACGTGCGTGCTGTATCATAAGGCCTGTCATTGTGTTAACTGGCGTGGTTTCGAATCCCCGGTTGTACGTGACAAGGCGGGTTTTCTCGTGGGTTTTTCTCCGGGTCCTCAGGTTTCCTCCCCTACGCGCAAGCGAATTATTGAAATAAAATTAAAACCATATAGTAGTCTCGAAATGACCTAGTTGGTGTCGAGTGAACGTTAAACCCCATTTCCCTTCCCTTACACCATGAAACTTAAAATGATAGTGTTGGGATTATTTTACGAAAGTTTAAATATTCGTTATCGCTTGATTTATAAACCTGTAATGGTAAATCTCTTTGATCTTTGGGGAATATTCTATGCCCGGGACAACTTGAGGTCTGAAAGTCGGGGGCGACTTTGAATATATACAAGGGAATTTGGGTTTATTCTTCTGAAAGTTTTCTTTAAACAACAGATTATTCTTCCAGGGTAGGTCTTTTTCCATAAGAAAACATATCTAAGGTTTTTCTTATGGGAATTCTGGGATATTCTCATTTTGCGCACATGTAAACATAGACGGTTTATAAGCAAGATAATGTCCTCGACTTCGGTTATGCTGGGGAAGAAAAACTTCAGAAAAAATCCTCGACAGAAAACCCTCGGCCTGCCGGCCTTGATTTTTCTTTTTCTCGGGTTATTTTCTTCAGTCTTTCTTTTCCCAGCATACCCGCAGTCTCGTGCTTTATCCTACACATAATGCCATTGGGACATTCGAAATAACATTCACAGTGTTCTACCAGTAGAAAGACATACCACATAACGTATGTTCTAATATAAGCAGGGGTATCGGAAACGATATGGGAGAGAGAGAGAGAGAGAGAGAGAGAGAGAGAGAAATGGGGTTTAACGTCCACTCGACACAAACTAGGTCATTTCGGGACTAACATATGATTTATTTTTTTATTTCAATAATTCGCTTGCGCGTAGGGGTCTTTAGCAGTGGGAGGAAACCTGAGGACCCGGAGAAAACCCACGAGGTTGGACAGGCGACCCTACTTCTTGTCACGTACAACCGGGGATTCGAAACCACGCCAGTCGACTCAATGACAGACTTCATGATAAAGCGCGCGCACGCTAACCATTCAGCCATCCAACCTCCCGGAAACGATATGAACTTAAACCACTAGCCTACAGAGAGTAAGATGCTGGCTCGCTAGCCTAGAGTTCCTGGGTTCACTCCGGGTGTTCCTCCGTATATTCCGGCCACGGCTTCTCCTTGTCAGTAGTACACGGCGGTGGGTCTGGCAAGGACAGCTGTCTATGCGTTCCTATGGGACGAAAAACCAATCCCCCGTGTACAAATTGATGTACACATAAAATAACCCTTGACAGTTGGAAATAGTTTGATAAGAGTAAGCCGTAGCGCCGCTTTCCGAACAAAATTCCCTTCATAGCACACTGAACGTAATATGTCTATCTTCATTAGTAAAGTACGGTAGGGCGTTAATCCCCCATCGTATTGCATTGGATATAACGAGATTATACGCTCTTATGTACAATCCCACCAACGTAACACTTCCTAAGGGAACGCTCCAAGGAGGAGATAACGCAACCAGTTGCCGAAAATCTTTCAATTTCTAAGCGTTTCTCCTCCAGTCCCAAATAGAAATTCCTGTAAACGAACTTAAACCAGCAGAATATTTAGCAGAAACTGTGAACGAATGACGGACGGACGGACAGGCGTTGATGTTGGCATCAAAATCAAAAAAGCTGTACTGAGATAAACCAGACGATTGTGGGTGGTAATGTTTATTCTTTGAATAATGCAAATTAATCAAGCTGTTGTTTAGACAGGGTACGAAACCGAGAATAGAAATCTTCGTTTTTAATTTGGTAACATTTGAACTTTAATTTATAATTACATGGGAAATATGAAATGAATTGTAATTACCTGGAAAAAAGTAAAATTCGAAATTCGTGTTTTTCCAGAATAAGGAAAACAATTATATTTTCAAATACCCCGAAAATGGTATAATATGATATTTGTAACCACCTGGTTATTCGGCAATAATATCATACATTCGGTAGTTATATTGATTTTATATATCACTAGTAGTCAGGGTTACAAATAACACCTTGAAGAACACCTTGATTTTGCAAATATCATCCAAAACTGTACCACGAATCTGATAGCCAGTTTGCATGCAGTAATACAGAATACGATGGGATAAGAACAGCTGTCTGTTCAATTAACTACACTAGAACGTGCACATTATACTGCACCCTAATAAGTAGTTGATAATAGTATTAAAATCAGGGGAAACATAATCGCTGAATTGAAACGAAGACACTGGAATCAATGATCTACCCTTTGATACAAAAATCATTCCCTATTTAAAAAAAAAAGATCTTGTTGGTTCTTGTCGACGATAATAAGACCATATTTGTCACATTTTCAATTTAAGCAATATTGGAAAAATAGCGCACTTTTTGGAGATTAAAAAGACCCCACAACAATGAAATGCGTTTTTTTAAACTTTCTACAGTTCTGCTCCGACAGGATTAATGAAGACGAGCATACCCATTCAGTGTTCAGTTTATCGAATTCCAACTGCTAAGGGATATTTTACATGTACGTCAATGTGTACGCGGTACCTCCGACCTGCACCTTTGACAATGGGAAATTATTCCGGA